TCACTGAAGTAGAAATTCTTATTTAAATAATCTTTCTACTGAATTGTAACATTTATTGACCTTTACAATTTCACACAGATTTTTAGAGTAACACCTTTGGTTAATGGTTAATATCTGGGGGTGAGCCAGTCAACCTCAGGTGATTATATACTGGCATTATTGGTTAGAACATGGCAAATATCACTTTGTCTTTGAACATTAAATTCAGTGGAAAATGTATTTTTTTTTTATCATTAAAGTTAACCTTGTTTCATAATCATGGTAACTTTGAATTTAATAGTTAAGACATTGTGCTGGCATTGTGAAAGTTAGTATCTTTCTTTGTAGAGGGAAGTATAACTCATTTTATTGAAAGAAATACCATTTTATTTCACAGTCCTATAATACAGACAGTTTAACCATCGTACCTTGGAAAAAGGGTGGAAAATGAGTTGCATGTTGAAACAGAATGGCTACAATTCTTATTTCCCTGTAGTAATATGTTTGTCACATTGGAAGTGGGTCTAAGTCTCATCAGTTACCTATTTTTTCTAGGATGCACAGTTTTATGTGGGTTTCATGAAAAGTATTAATTGTATGTTGTTACAATAAAATTACATGTGTTTGGGTAGCTGAATTGTTTATAGTCCAAAGATTTTTATTTAAAGGATTCCTTTTTCTCCCCCATGTTTTATTTATTAGGTAGAACTTATGAGCATTTCTACTGTATACCTATATTTACAGGGTTTCTAACTAAGACATATAGTCTCCAGTCTTGGATGTACCAAGATCATTGTTCTTTTTAAATTCTGTATTTATTTCTTTTACTTTTCTTGTGGCCACAAGGAAATTTTTAGACTTAAATAATTTCTGTTCAATATACCTGAAAGTCTTCATATGGTTAAAAATTTTAAGTTTTTAACATCTATTAAGTGAACTAAGGTGTTTTAGTAGAAACCTCTAAGTGAAGAAAGTAAATTTTTCAGAAGCACTTTAGGAAGGTAAAATTAGTGCGTAAGTAAAGATACACTTTGGGTTTTGGATGGTCAGTGGTCATTAAATCCTATTGATTGTATCTTATAAAGACTTATTGCTTGCATTTAAAAATTTTTTTCCTTCATTGCCTGTACCTTGGTACCGGAGCACCGGAGCTTATGGTCAAATATATGGATACAGAATCACTGTCAAATTGATGTAGGTTGTTGTTTGTATTATTGCTGACCCCATCACATTTTACTTGCATTATTGCAGTAATATCCTAATTATTATAGTAATGTTTTCCTATCTTCCAACCCCTCCCCTGCCTCCAATCCCTCCTTTTAAGTCTGTCTTCCACATTATCGCCAGTTAGCTTTCCAAAAACATTGCTTATTACATATCAGGTTCTCTGTGGCCTTCTGGATAAGCACCAAACACCTTGTCATGGCCTTTTGCAACCCAGCTACAAGTTTCCTTTCTTAAATCTTATTTACTACCATTTCATGCCCATACATCCTTCCTCCTCAATCTCGCTGCCCTGGCCCCTCAGGACTTTTGGTATCTAATTGTCTTTTCTACATTCTTGCCTTCGTTGTGTTGTTCTCTTTGCCTGCTGTGTTGTTCCTCCTTTTTTTTCACCGGGCAAATTCTGGTTATCATTGCGTTTATAAGTTTGTTGTTCTCTATGATCTCAAAGAATTTTGATTTTGTACATGCTTCTGGCTCTCCTCTTCATGAGAATTCCTTTAAGTTAGGGTCTAAATTACTTGTTTTGTGTCTTTGTACCCTTTATGTAGGCTGGCAGAATTGATAAATGTAATTGCACCATACATTTATTTATTTTTTGTTTTGTTTTGATTTTTAGAGAGAAGAAGGGAGAGAGAGAGAGAGAGAGAGAGAGAGAGAGAGAGAGAGAGAGATCTGAGAGAGAAATATCAATTGGTTGCCTCCATACTGGGAATTCAACCTGCCATCCTTTGATGTGTGGGATGACACTTCAACCAACTGAGCCACACCACCAGAATGCACCTTATTTGTTTTTAAGTGCAATATTTTATAAGCTCATTTGTAGGTGATAGAGCCTCTCTTCCTCCAACTGATAGATGAATGGATAATTGAAATTGTGAAGGTTTTTGTGAAGATTGTGCGTGTGATGAGATAGAACAGAGAAAAGTAGGAAGAAAGAACTTCCAGCAAGAAAGTGAGGCTTCAGTCTCCAAGCCTGGCAGGACAAGGTTGCTGGTTCAACGTACAGTCCATATAAGGTGCCTTGTTAGTGCTCAAGAATGTCAGGCTCAGGTGAAGTTCCCGTCATTCTCCATCCCTCAGTTGGAGGAAGGGAGGATCTATCCTTAAGGGCTATAGTCTATTGAGCTTGTGTGTTATACTTTAATTCACATGAGCACTTTAAAATGTACTGTGCTATTTGACGTAGAGTATTTCTTAATTTATATACATCGAGTAAATACAGAGATTGTTGGTGCTTCAAGAATTAATGGGTTCTTCATTATTTTGAAGAAGTTAGTGCTTTTATATTTTGAAGAAGTAAGTTCTTCATTTATAGTAAATTTTTTCCCATTTTTTTTAATTGATTATGGTATCACATAATTGTCCTCATCCCCCCAATCTCATCCCAAACCCCTCCCTACATATGCCCTCATCCCCCCTCCCATTTATAGTAAATTAATAGAATGAATTCCTTCACTCCTATGTTGCTGTGAGCAGAAGAATACTATATTACTTACTAAACTATGAGTTTAGGTTTGACTTTTTTTAAAATATGAATTCTGATTTGCCTTTTTAAAAAATATATATTTTATTTATTTATTTATTTATTTTTTTTTTTTACAGAGAAGAAGGAGAGGGATAGAGAGTTAGAAACATCGATGAGAGAGAAACATTGATCAGCTGCCTTCTGCACACCTCCTACTGGGGATGTACCTGCAACCAAGGTACATGCCCTTGACTGGAATCAGACCTGGGACCTTTTAGTCCACAGTCTCATGCTCTATCCACTGAGCCAAACTAGTCAGGGCAGATTTGCCTTTTTTTAAAATTTGATTTCAGGGGAAGGAAGGGAGAGGGAGAGATAGCAACATCAGTGATGAGAGAGAATCATCTATTGGCTGCCTCCTGTGTATCTCCACTGGGGAGCAAGCCTGCAACCTGGGCACGTGCCCCAACCAGGAATCAAGACCAGGGATCAAACCCGTGACCTCTTGGTTCAGAGATTGACTCTCTATCACTGACTAACCCCAGCCAGGCATTTTTTGTTGTTGTTTTCAATGATAATACTGAATTGGAAGTTGAAAGTTGCCTGCTCTTTAGTATTCATGATAACTTTCCTTGCCTGAGGAGGGAGGAGATCCGGCGTTTCTGGTCTGTTATAGTAAGTGGAATGACCTTTTAAAAATTAATTAGAAATCTCTGAACTGGGGTTTTTGTATGTGTTATTTTGAAAAGGATTTTGCTTGCTTTCCCTTTTTGAGGCTTTCACCTCCCTCTTCCCCCAAACCCTACAGACAGCAATCCTTTTAACACATGGCCCTCCAAACAGTGTTATTACTAAATTTAAGTTAGTATGAATTTACTAAAAAAGGTGCAGATAGCCGGGACCGGTTTGGCTCAGTGGATAGAGCGTCGGCCTGCGGACTGAAAGGTCCCGGGTTCGATTCCGGGCAAGGGTATGTACCTTGGTTGCGGGCACATCCCCAGTGGGGGGTGTGCAAGAGGCAGCTGATCGATGATTCCCTCTCATCGATGTTTCTGACTCTCTATCCCTCTCTCTTCCTCTCTGTGAAAAATCAATAAAATTAAATAAATTTAAAAAAGGTGCAAATAGCATATTATTCTTAATATAAAGAAATTAGTAGTAGAAATGTTCTTATGACTTTTAAAAAAGTTAAAAAATAAAAAGAGACCACAACACATTAAGCTGTAAATATAATTTTATGCTTGATTTTTGCTAGTTCTTATCCCTCTCCCCTCTGCTCATCTGGAATTTTGAAGGGAGGAAACCAATTATAATATATTTTTTCCTTTGCTCTCTTCCCCTTTTTCAGTTCATTTGTTTCAGGGATACATTTGGAAGTTGGTGTGTTGGGAGTAAAGTATTAGAAGGAGAGATAACTCATTTGTTATTAATCAGGGACATTCCATGCTTTGGCGAGATTCTTTTCTGAAGTGTTTCCTGTTGACTTTTTCTGTCAGCAGTAGACAAGCACACTTCACTCTCTTTTTAATTATTTTTTCCCTCTCTTTGCTTTCTAAGGCCACTTTCTAAATGCTGTAGTATGTATTGTTTATTAGTGTTATGTATTTAGTATTATTTATTACTATGATGTGTTGTCAGTAAAGTAAATTTTTTGCAAGCATCCACAATGTGAAGAAATACCCTTTTAGCAGACATTTTTAGGGTGTCATTATCTAATATGGACAAATCATGGAATTTTAGAGTCAGGTGGATACTATCACATTTGTTGATTTTTATAGATGAAAATGGAAACTGAAGCACAGTGAGATGAAATGAATCATATTAAGGAGGACCCTAGGATGTTTCTCCTAATTTCTAGACTACTGCACTTACCTCTATGCCTCAAGTCTTTTAAACAGAGAACTCATCATGGTCTCATTTTTTGGAAACATTTTGCCTTTTAAGAAGTACATTTTAACTGATAGTTTGTTTTCCTGTTTTTAATTTTTTTCATACCTTCAGCTGTCAATCAGCTTTGAATTATATTTTAAAACTACTAATATGAAACTAGCCAGAAGGCAGATTCCTAAAACTTT